AGCCCATACTTCATGTTTCATCTGCATATATCTGTGCTTCATCTTCTTCATACTAGGTTACATCAGCTTAACCTAGTTGGAGTGTGATGTGATTTGAATGTTCAGGTGTGATGGATCGCTGTATATTTACTGTAGTCTTGTCATTCAAACACAAGTTAATCTCACTACAACCAAGACAATTTTCTTTTTGAGAAATAACAAACTGGAATGAAAAAGAAAAAAATAAAACTTTCTACTTCTTACTTTTAAAAAAATGTCAGGAGTAGAAAGTACAGATTATCCCTTTAACATTCAGACCTAAAATGCCATAAAAAAAAGTCAAAGGGAAAGTGGGTGTTCCGGTGGATGTTGTGAGTATAAGTAAAAAAAATCAGCTGAACGATAAATATTCAAGTAAGGTACAGATAACCTTTTTTTTTTTACTCAAGTAAAGTAAGAGTATTTTACCTTGCTTTGTTACTTATCCACTGGCACCAATCCATTTCCAAGCATTTCTTGGTCATAGTAAATTCTGAGAAAAATAACCACACCTTTTTTTCTTCTTTTCATTACTGCACAATATTTTTAGAAACGAAACAACATTTATAATAATGAAATGCAGAAAGCCACAGGGAATGGGGCCAATGAAGCTGTGTACCTGAGTAACCTCTTATTGTTGGTATATATTCAAAAAATGAAAGCAACTAAATGCCAAATTCAAAGCCTCAGATCAGCACAGCTTTTTAACAGCAGAAATGTTGACGTGTTGTTAAAAAGAAGTCTGGTAATGAAAATAAATGTTTGCTAGGTTCCTTTCAGTGAACAAGTAAATGTTAACAATGAGCAGTATGCACAACAGGAGGAATGTGGAATATGTATTTCCTGCTGAAAGAAGTCTAAAGGTCTGCTGTGACAAAACATTTCCCCCACTTGTGATCAATAATGATAGTGATTTGTTCTTTATTCATCCCAACCTTATTGTGACACATTTTTTGTTATATTACATTTGATGTAAGGCAGGGTGTGTTTTAGTGTTGTAGATGAGACCACCTAACCCAAGTCAAGACCAGAATGTGACAAGACCAAGACTTTTGGGGGCTAAACCAAGCCAAGATCAAGAAGGGCAAGACTGAGTAAAAAACAAGACCTGTGAAAAAAAAAGGAAACTAGTGCTCTAAAACACACAATATAGAGGTATCTGTACACAGGTATCTAACTTAATATATATAGCAATATTGACTAAATCTCTTTGTGTGAGGGCCAGGTAAATGATTGTAGTACAAAGGCAGATTGCTAACATTAGCTAGCTAGCTATGCTAACTTCACTAATGCTTATCTCATCTTACCTTTCCTTTCCTTTTTCTTCCAGTCTCAGGTGACAATAAAAGTTTGATGTAGTCCCCACCGTCTCTGAAAACGAAGCAATGCAGAATTTACAAGTTGTTGTATGGTTTCTTCTGGATGTAGTTTTACAAATAATTTATTTGGACTTTATGTATTTGAAATGTATTCCTGAAGATTTTGCAGACACCACCCCTAGACAACCACTGATCACTTTCTTGGATTGATTTGTGCGTGAAATGGGGTGGGAATGAGTGACAGCGGGAACTTGGATTTGAATCAGTATGGTTTTCATCCAAATAAAACACTACTTTTAACAAATAAATTGGACAATATTCTGGCAATTTAATGATTTTTTTTCATAGTTGTGGTCTTGACTGGCCTTGAAATAAAATCCAGAGTCTTCAGTGTTCAAGATCGAGATAAGACCAAGTACAAATGCGGTCACTGAGACTGAGACCAAGACCAGTCTTTAGTACTACAGCACTTGTTTTAAGAAGGTCTACAACAGTCTATTTTACACCCTTGCTTTGTCCTCAGCACTAATCATATCTCCTTGTTGCATTTCCTCCAGCCTTTCGCCACAATGAATGCCCTGATCCAGGGGTGCCAGTCAATGGGAAACGCTTTGGGGAGAGCCTTCAGCTGGGTAGCTCAATCTCATTTCTTTGTGAGGAGGGCTTCGTTAAGACCCACGGCTCTCAGACTATATCCTGCATCCTCAAAGATGGCAACGTTGTGTGGGACAATGCTGTCCCTCGTTGTGAAGGTGGGTATGAGAAAAGCAACTTCAAATTACATTTCTTTTGCTGTGTAAAACAAACAGATGGAAAGAAAATATAGATGAAGTTAAAATGATTATACATAAAGAAATCATAGGAAAGTTTCATTTATTTGTAGTTTAGAAGATACTTTTATGTCTACATTTGAACTTTTGCTGGAATGAGATAAGGCCTGGTATTTATGGCCCAACAAGCTTGCAATGCATCTTTACAGCATATTTTAGCTAATTTTGTTTACTGAAGATTATTGATTTGTCTATTCCCTGCTTATTTATCAGATTTTGCTTCTATAATTATTTGAATTCAGTTAATTTAATTTCCTTGACATCCAAGATCACAGAGAAATGAACTATAACATGATCTAAAGGTTTTGTTCCCCTAAGTATCTGCTACAAACATGCTGCGTTTACATACAGATTGCTGCATTCCCGTTACCCCTCCGTGGCGTAATAATCAATAAACTATTCCCAGAAAACCAGAAAATGGTTGGCAAAGCTTTGATAAAGCTAAGCATTTACTATGGTTTTTGCAGCAAATCGATGATATTGCAGACAAAGCATTAAACTAAGGGGCTTAATAATGTTCACTATCTGTAATATGCAAATGATAAAGCAATATTACAGCCTGTCACTCCCCCTGCGTGTCTCAGCAGCTTCATAGTCCTTTGGGGCCATCTATCATACCCCTATGTTTGTAGCATAATGGGTTTCATTGATGTCCTTCACTATGTTGAGTTGACTGATTAAATCCTTCCTATTCAAAGGGAAACAGGAGCTGGCACTGTACCGAAGCTCTCCACCATTCCTGTATGTTGTGGTTAAAGATAGGCAGTTAAAAAGAGGGCCGACAAAGTGAGCTGGAACAGAGATGAGGGTTCAGGAGAGAGGCCAGTCCTCTTAAGTGTCTTTTGTGCAAGCGATCAAAGGCGCTGCTCTTTTTTTTCTGTTTCTTTTCTTGATGGGGATGGCAAGCAGCAGCTTAAATGCAGAATTTTCTCATGCTCTAAGACACATGTCAAGTGATCAGCGTGGTCGTGAGGGAACTGTTAACCTTAAAGTGGGCTGTCACCAATTTAGATTAGATGAAGCTCGGCAGTGGAAAACACATGGGAGGAGCCACGGATAATGCAAGAGCATCAATAGATGTTGTCATACATCACCTGGGACAGACATGTTTTATTCAGTTGCTGTGTGTCTTTCTCTCTCTGCATTTCTTCCGTCCCGCTGTTAGCCCCATGCGGTGGGGATCTGAAGGCTCCCAGTGGGATCATTCTCTCCCCCGGCTGGCCAGAACTATACAAGGAGGCCCTTAACTGTGAATGGATCATTGAGGCTCCTCCAGGCTACCCCATCAAGATCATCTTCGACAAGTGAGTCACCAAGATAGCAATTGTTTAAATGGATGACTATTTTACTATCTCAAAATAGTTGGTTTCCTTTCACTCTTGGCTTTTTCTGCACATCTCCAACAATTTACCTCTTTGTGACCTCTTTACTTACTGTTTTGTAACCTATTTATTTGACTTTTGTCTTGAGTGTAGTAAGTGAACAATCTTAGGTGTTGAGAATTTTTCAAATGAACTCATTAACATAGAAACTGCCTAATATTCTTCAAGTGAATAAAAATATTGTTAAAAAATCAGGGGTGAGACGTTAGAACAACACGAAATAAGGAATGTGTGAGCAACTCCAAGGTGTCACAAATATACATTTGGTGTTTAAAAATTGAAGAATTTGTGAGCTTTTGTCTCTTTTTTCATTACGGTTGTGAGCTTTTGTCTTTTGAAGTTTTGTCTTGTGAGCATTGTTCATGACTGCTCATTAAATTCTATAGCAATTCATGCAAAAACTATTCCATTGATCTTATACTACCGCCAGTTTTGCATTATGTGGTTTGTTAACATATAATTCTCTGGTAATTTCCAACTTCCATCAGGCCTTTCCAATTTCTATGTAAACCTTATGACTCTATTCAAGTTTAAGTAATGTCATAGACGTGAACATCTATGATGTTTTGAGGAATGGATTGGTTAAAAATCAGCTTTGAGAGAAGGTCCACTTTGTTATAGACTACATAGCGTTAGCTTGTCAGTATTGCTCTAACTGATGTTTTCTTCTTTGTTTTTGTATTTTTGTTTTTGCTGTGTTAATAACTAAGGTCCTTAATATTCCATAGAGATTATGTGAAATGCTGTGATCCTTTTGAGATTGAGGTTGTTTTAAGATGGCAGCAAGCAGATTTTTTTTGATTCTACTTGGATAGCCATTAAAGGCAAGATATTTATTACTTGCAAACTTCACACATGAACCTCACTTTAAAATATTCAGTCTACCTCTTTAATCAAGTTGTCTCAAAAGCAAAATAAGCCAGAGTATTGAATGTCAGGGTATGAATGAAGAAAGGTGTATCAGCAAGAAATGGTTTGGGTTCGAGGAACTGTGAGATGGTTTCTTGTCATTTTAGTATATCCTTAAACATTCAGTTAACCCCCAACCCTGCCAATTATTCACAGGCATACTTACAGTTGGCTCACGCTGGGGCTGCAGAGATGGAGGAGGAGCCGATTTGTCACAATGTTCAGAGACAGACAAGAGATAGACAGACAGTTGTAGGATCAAACGCAACATTAATGTTTTCAGTAAAGCTCATCCTTTGCAAATCCTCACTGTTCCTGCTGCGGTGGCACACCATGCAAAATGAATGTAGCATAAATGTTTGTTGCTCTTTAATTTTTATGTAACATCAATAAAATATCACAAACCGTTTCATTTAGATGACATGCATTTTGTAACCAAGCGATTTATTCATGGCTTTGAAGATGAAGTTGCTCATGCGACAAAGCCAGGAAACACACATACACGTGCAAGGGTACACATTTAGTAAATGAACGTCATATTTCTGGCAATTTCACAATTTTTAAACATAAGGGTCATTTTGCAAAACAACACAGAACAAAATTAAAAATAAATTGTACACACTGCTTGACTGCTTTTTAGGAAAATATGGCTCTAGGTAATATTGTATTATGAAACTCTGAGCCCCTCTAATGAAAACTTAATGAGCTCCACATGGTAAATTGTGCATAAAAACAGTGTTTTAACATGTCCTTTTTATAAACCCCTAAAAGCATCACATGTATGACTGACTAAATGTGGAAATAACAATGGCCACAACAACAACAACAACAACAACAACAACAACAACAACAACAACAACAACAACAACAACAACAACAACAACAACAACAACAACAACAACAACAACAACAACAACAACAACAAYAATAATAATAATAATAATAATAATAATAATAATAATAATATAGTTTTACTCACTGTTTAGTTGTAGGGAATAGCTGCCATTTTGAACTTTGAACTCGCCCATGTTTTTGACAAGGGATTCCCATGTAAAATCAACATGCATTATGGGAGATGTAGTTTATTGTCATTGCTGGATTTAAGCAGCCTATTTTCATTCATTTATACACAGCTATTCAATTAAATTGCTCAGTGGGGCACAGTTACCTAAAGCAGATACCTCAGGGGCTTGACAAGTATTATTATATTTCACCTTTAAAATTGTTTTATTTTGTTGCATCGAATCATAAATTTAAAGTTAAAAGTAGTAGGTAAAGTAAAAAAAAAAAAAACATATTTAGTTTGATATGTGTTGTAGACCCTTGATGTTACTTGTAACAAACTACAAAGAGAAGGTTCATGTTTATTTCTAAATATGTATTCAGTTTTGCATTTATATATTTTAGCATTTGATCACGATGAAGCTTGAACATAACAGTATGTAAATTTGACAATTAGCCATTTTATTGGCTTGGGTGGTTTTTGTTTATTTTTTATTCCCCTGTTTTTTGCTGGTTCTTGTATGCTAAATGCTGTGCACTTCCATTCTGTTATTTTTTTTTCCCCCACTAGATTTCGCACTGAGGTCAACTATGACGTTCTGGAGGTGCGGGATGGTCGATTTCCCTCTTCACCTCTGATCGGAAGTTACCAAGGAACCCAGGTTCCCCAGTTCCTCATCAGCACCTCCAACTTTCTGTATCTCCTCTTCACCACTGACAAGAGCCACTCTGACATTGGCTTTCGTATACGTTACGAAAGTAAGGGCCCACGCAGTTTGATGATTCAAATTCAAATGCACATCCAGATAAAATGCTTGACAGAGCGTGATGAAAGTGAATTCATTACAAGCAGAAAGGTCAAATAAAAGGCAGCTGTACTCTGTACTTATATGGTACTGTACCTCTCTTTGGTCGTGGGGATAATCTCCTAAAGTTCTAGATTTTACCTGAAACCATTCCTAATGAGAACATCTATAATCAAAAAGCAAATTGCTTGAGATAGCTCCTTCAGATATTCGTGTGTTGACTCATGGTGACATGCATCAATTGTTGCATTCTTTCACTCATTCACTCAAACACTTTTCCTCCTTAAAGCAGTCTTCAGCCACAGTGTGAATCATAGCTCAAGGCAGTGTTACTTTCATTTCTACCTGTGTGGCACATACTGGTAACCTTTTGCACCTTCTCTGTGGGTAAATCTCTGCTAAGCTTCAATTATTCACCACCACTGCTCTACAAACTATGCAAGGTGGAGTGGAAAAGACCTCTGAAAAATCTTATTGGTTCCTGTAGAAAATAGAATTTTGGTGAATTATTTATCAGGGTTGACTTATAAAAAGAAATTTGCCTTTCAACGTCTCTTGACCTATTGGGAACCAGGTGCCGTTAAACCTAATTGCACCCTTAAGAAGCAGAATTTCAGGGATTTTGTCTTTGGGTTTTGATTATTTGCTGTTCATGCCCTAATTTCTCCTGTGGTCCCCTTCCGTTCCAGCTCTACAGCTACAGTCGGATCACTGCGTGGATCCTGGCATACCTGTCAATGGACAGCGGCACGGCAATGACTTCTACGTGGGTGCTTTGGTGACATTTAGCTGTGATGCCGGGTACACACTGAGCGACGTGGAGCCTTTAGAGTGTGAACCCAATTTTCAGTGGAGTCGCCCCCTGCCTAGCTGCGATGGTATGTTCCGTCATTTTGACCTAGAAATGAAAAGCTGCCTGGCAGATATCTCCCTCCACATAAATGGGATTAACGCTGAATTCATTGTTGTGTGCTCTCGCCGGTGAAACATCCTCAGCACTTTGCTTCATATTGCGTCACAATTAAAGTACACTATTTCTGAGTCATTCCGAAATCCATACAAAGTGGAAACATTTCTTTAAATGATTGTTGCTTTAGATCTGAAGTTTCTGATTCATGTGTTTTTGGAAATGTTTTATATGTACAGCAGTGATTCTACCCTTCAAGTTTTTTTCTTTTCCTTTTTTTCTTCTCTCATCTGTAAACGCTTTTATATTTGAGGACAGTATTGATTTTCACCCACTCTACTAATATTGATAATACCACTTTCTCCTTTTTACTTGAAGGGCACTTGTAAAATACATTTTACCACACAGTAAACACAGACAACTTTTGGGAGTATTTTCTGAAAGTTTTAACTTGTCTCCCAGTTGTCTCATCTCTATCTATCCTTCACTGTTTCCATACGCCCTTGTTGACAGCACTGTGCGGAGGTTATATCCAGGGTAACACGGGCACCATCTTGTCTCCTGGCTTTCCTGACTTTTACCCACATAACCTGAACTGCACGTGGATCATCGAGACCTCCCACGGCAAAGGTTAGCAGAGAAATTCTGTGTCCAAACATGAAACAGTCTGGTTTAATTTCCCTCACAATGTCATTCCTCCCCACTGAGTGGCCTTTTTTCTTTCTTGTTAGACAGGCCATCTTTGTGGTAGTAGATTGCTGAGAGGCTGGCCTGGGGCTACAGTGCCACGGGACAGCTTTCCAATCATGTCCCTTTTGGTTGTGCTTTCTCATCAGTTTGACACAGTCTTATTTGCAGATGCTCGCCTTGGGTTTGGTGTGTTTGATAAGTCGTAGCCAAGGAGGACATCAAATTCATTTTGTATGCAGTTTAAAACTGATAATGTTGTTTCTCATGAATACTTAAGTAAACTTAAGATTCTGGCCAGCCTTCTAGACCGAAACTACCATTACATAAATTGCCTTTCATGTTACCATGTTTTTCTTCTTCAAAACAATTTTTGAATGTGTTTTTCTTCATTTCTGAATCAGGTGTACAGTTCACCTTTCACACTTTCCACCTGGAGAGTCCTCATGACCATTTGCTGGTAACAGAGAACGGCAGCTTCTCTCAGCCCCTGTGGAGACTGACAGGCTCCACCTTGCCTCCACCTCTCAGTGCCGGCCTGTTTGGAAACTACACAGCTCAGATCCGCTTCCTCTCTGACTTCTCGGTCTCATACGAGGGATTTAACATTACTTTCTCAGGTGGGAATAAAGTACATTTAGTCACTTAGAGAAGAAAACTGGGCCACTTGATGCTTATTGTAAAACTCAGTAAAACTAAGAGGGGGTTCAGAGAACCTTAGAGAAGAGATTCTTAACCCATGGGCCGGCAACGAGCGCCACCCTGAAGGCCTCAAAAGAACAACAGTTTTTAACTTTGGGTCACGGGACCGCATTGATTTTGAATAAGGTGCAATATGCTTCCTCACCACTAGTAGCAGTAGTGCAACACTCAGATGTTTAACAAATTTTAATATGTAGAAGAAGAACCTTAGAAACCTTCCGATAATGGAAACATATTTGAAAAGTAGAAGCAAAAATGAAAGTAACTCGTCAAAAAACACCAAAGTTTGTCACTGATATGAAGTGCAGCCTCTGTTTTTACCATGCAATATTTTAAAAGTTCAAAACATTATCAAATACAGTTGCAGATACAACTATATTTTAATTTGCACTTTAAATTAATTTTGTAGTTTATTTTTAAACATTTTGAATGTATTTTAAAGAAATTTTAAACTTGTCAAAAAGCTGTTACTGTTATTGTTTGTCACTAATATGAAGA